CTAGTAATATATTTACTGAGAAAAATGGTGACGTGTTCAATACTTATTTTACCCGCTGTAAATTGTCCATCCGTCCGTTTTCTGCCGCTCATCAGGGATCGGGTCGTGGGAGCAGCAGCAGAGAGACCCAGACATCCCTCTCCCCAGCGACACTTTCCAGCTCGTCCTGGGGGACTCTGAGATGTTCCCAGGCCCGAGGGGATACATAATCCCTCCAGCAAGTCCTGGATTTTCTCCAAAGTGCCAGACATGTTTTTTTAAAATGCTTATTTCTGTCAGCTGTTACCAAACTCAACAAGAGCTGCAATWAGAACTGAATAAGTGCAATAAGGGACAACTAAAGCAACATTTATTAATCCTACCTATGTTGAAAAACTGGAAGGTTTAAACCTGTAATTCCTATTTTATCTTTTTTTGGGGTGCAAATAATTATTTTTTTACTGTGTCTACCTCATTCTAGTGTGTAAGTATATATATATATATAGATTTTATACTGTTTTAGCTTWTTTTAAATACATACTTTAATACTTTCACTCTGGAAAGCAAAACCAAATMTCGTTGTACTCTGATGCAGTGACAAGTCTATCCTATTCCAATCTATGTTCAGGTAAATCCTTTTCTATTCATCCCAACTTGTCCTTTTTGTGCTTTTGTCTTTTCTCTCTCTCTTCTCAAAGTTGCTTGAAGCATTCCTTTGTCTTTGAGATGTAACTGTAACCATGAACACTGATTAACCAGTGAACAGAGCTTACAGGTGTCCCTGTACTGCAACTGCTTAAGACACAGCCACTTCTAACACCAACCTCTGCTGAATTATGACTTTAAATGGGGTGAATATGTACACAGTCGCTTATAACATTACATTACTTAAATGAGATTARATATCAGTTATCACTTTGTCAATATGGGTGAATTTTTATTTATTTAACTTTTTTTTGTAGAGACTGTATATAAACCTTCATGATGACCACAAAGTGCTGTACACAAATATTAACATGTAAGGTGTTTTTATTGGGAAAAATATGTCAACATATGAAAGAGTTCAAATTGGACAACCTGTTCTACTAGACGAGACAGACTTATAGACCAGGTAATCCTGCACAGCCTTTGTACAAACAGTGGGTTCTTAAACCCAAAACTTAAACATTGGTGGCAAAAACAGCATGCTTGCTGTGGTACATGAACCAAAAGGCCACACAATACAGTGACTTTATCAACCTTTCATACATGATAAATGTGACAAACACTGGCTGTTTATGGAAATAACGTAGGAATTCAGATTGTCATATAGAACAGAGGTCTGATTCTCTTGACCCGCTGTCCTGCATGTTTTAGCAGTTTCTCTGCTTTCGCACACCTGATTCAAATTAATTAAATTACCTACTTAAACTATGAAGTTTATCAGAAGCATGTCAATCACTCAGTCATTTCAATCAGTTGTATTAAAGGAGGGAGACATCTYAAACATGCAGGGCAGTGGGTCACGAAGGTTAAAGACCTCTCATTTAGAAAATAGACATTAAACTAAGGTTTTATTTACATGTACAGTATTTATTATCCCCGTACTTAGAGCTGGAAGATGTAAACAGATTAAAACAAGACTTCCTGTAAATCCTCAGTAAAGAAGTAGGCACACGAGAAAAACTCGGAAGGTTTCCAGGATAGAGTGGCCTGTAATTTAAAATTTATTAATCAGGTGCTAACTGTTAGTAACAGTGTTATTTATTAGCTTGCTGTTTCTGACGTAAAYAGTGTACGGTCCTGATAATTTTATACAATATTGAAGTATTGTCACAACTAAAATTTAACCTGTGTCACTAAGAACGGTGCACCGGCGACCGTCCTGCCTACAGTTTGGGCCGTAAAGCTAAAGCTACGCCCGGGCTGTGTTCAGTGACAGCTGGCAGGTAAAGCTCCGTAGCTAAAGGTTAGCATCCTGGCTGTAGCGGCGGGCTTTGAGTCCTCTCTGCTGCGGTACACCAAGCTGCAATAAGTTTCCGTTTCAGCCGCATCTAAAGGCTGATAATAATTTGCCAACCTGCAGGTCGTCAGACAATACCGACGCTTTGCAAACGAGTTAAAAACACTTACTGATACGGGACTCCAAACTCTCTGTGTCGGGGGGCGCAGCCATCACTGCGAGATTTATGTGGCGCTGCTCAATCTCGCGAGAGTTGCACAGGTGCGCAACGAGACACGGAAGTGACGCAAGCTTCAAAGAATCAACAAAGACGTAATGGATTAAAATAGCCTTTATTTACAAAATACAAAGGCACGTATTGCATTTGTGTTTATTTTTAATATTTCATGTATACTTTTATTGATTAGACAATGAACGAAAATCAACAAACTGACCTAATCTTTTCTGTAAAGGATTACAAATCTTCAGTAAGAAAACACGAACCACGAACAGAGAAATAAAGCTGTCATCAGAGTCCTCACTTTTCTAATTATAGAGACGCTCTGTCTCCCTCTAGCGGCAGCTATTYAGAGCTACACCGACTGAAGCCCTGCGACGAGGAGGGGCACACAATTATTGGGATTCTACCCAAATTTAAAAGAATATTTATCAAGTCTTCTGGGKGTTTTTTGTGGAATTGCACGTATTTGGACAACAGTTCACTTCACTGTTGGACTTGCTTGTAAGTTTGTAGTGGAAAATTACTACTTGCGTTTCCGCGACATACAGGAACTATTGACGTTACTTGCTTGCTTGTCGCCAACACCGCAAGCACCGCAAACCTTTTGTTTGTCAGTTCACTGAGAGACAACTTCCCTTCTGTCTTCTCCTACAGACTGATGCTCTGAGCTGGTAGAATGTTTTCGTGCAAAGGGTTCAACTAAGGAGGAGCACGGAGTCATGACCGTTTTCTGCTCACTTTTTTTCTTTTCTTCTTTCCTTTTGACATCTAACGATGAGGGTGTAATGTCCCCGCGTCAAATCTTGCAGGAGAAATGACATCACCGAAGTCTTTACTGGAGTGGTGCTGCGTCACATGCGCCGGTTATCCCGGTGTGGACATAAAGGACATGTCTTCCTCATTCAGGGATGGACTTGCATTTTGTGCCATCATCCACAAACACCGACCTGACCTGATGTGAGTAGAGAACTGCTTCCTGTCTGTCGCTAGTTTTGTTCTGTGAAGTGCTTCCTAACTTTATGAACAATATGTTTTATCCATATTTGGGGGGCCACAGATTTAGTTAATGTTTTTAGCCTGAGTTTCAACCGTCTTGCTGTGGATTTGAGGTAGAGTAGAACTTGGAGGAAGTTCTCCTCCTTGCACCACAGCATGATACCTCCACCACCATGCTAAACAGTAGGCTAGGTTTGATTCCTTCAAATAGATTCACCATTGTAGCCAAAAGGTCAATATTTGTCTGATCATAAAACCTTTCTCCTGAAGACGTTTTTGTCCACGTGATCAGCTGAATGGTTCAGTCAGGCTTAGAAGGTATTGTTTGTTTGTTTGTTTGTTTGTTTGTTTGTTTGTTTGTTTGTTTGTTTGTTTGTTTGGAACAGATGTTTCTTTTCATCTGAAGGTGACAGACTGTGACAAAGTGAAGAGCCATCTAAATAACATCTGACTGTAGGTGCAGTTGTTGACGTAATGTAGTTGAAATCTGAACTTGTTTGGAAATAGATGCAAAAGATTTTCACAACTTGTGTAAATGTAAAAAAAAAAGGCATCTTTAATATACTCACTGAGTTACGCAGACTTTCTTCTTTTAAGTAAAGAAAATTCTAATAACTAAAAAAAATCTTATGTTGGCAAAAAGAAACTACCAGCTGCAGTCAATCATGATCACAAATAGGCTTTGGTCTTTTTAATTCATGTATGTAAATATTTAAGTTTGTATTTATAACCAACAATAAATTTAGCCCCAATCCATTTTTAAAAATATAAACCAAAGAAATCATTGAAAGCTCCAAATAAAACTTGCGTTCTTTCTCAGGATGAGTGGATGTAAATGTCTGATTTCTGCCATCTAGTTTAATTTATGATCTTTGTTTCTGTTTGGAAATGTAAAACTTCATGTTCTGCACGCTCTTTTTGACAGAAGTTCACTTTTTTTGTAAATGTTTCTTTTTAACATTTGTTGCTAATATCTCTCCATTTTCTTCACCTTACTTCTTCAGAGATTTCAGTTCCCTCTGCAAAGATGACATTTATCAAAATAACAAACTGGTGAGTCATTTCCCTCTTTGTTTGCAGTCAGACTGTAAGAATTTCTCCAGCAACATCATGTTTGCGTGTTTTATTCTGAAAAGCGCCTTATCTGCCGTTTTTTAATTATTATTATTATTTTCAGGCATTTGAAGTTGCAGAAACCAAACTAGGGATCCCGGCGCTGTTGGACCCTAAAGATCTGGTCTCTGCCAAAGTCCCCGACTGTTTAAGTGTCATCGCCTACATTTCTCAATTCTACTACTCCTTCTACAGAAAGCCTTGTGGTCTGTTCTTTCTTTCTTTTTTGTTTACTTCTCATTTTTATTAATGCATTGAAATAAGCAAAGTCCTGATCCTTTGACAAAAAAAATTTCTGTGCAGTTTGAATTATTTAAGGACGGGTAGGCAGCGGTGCTTGATAATTTATGAATAGTCTTGAGA